GAAATCTGGTAACAGCAATGCAATATGTTGCAATTAAAAAATGTGTGGTACAGAACTAAACAAAGAATTCTCAATACAGGAAACTTAAATGGCTGAGAAACACTTAAAGAAATGCACAGCATCCTTAGCCATCAGGGAAATGTAAATCAAAACTATTTTGAGACTCCATTTTACACCTGTTAGAATGGCTAAGATCAATAACACAAGTGAAAGTTCATGCTGATGAGGATGTGGAGCAAGGGGAATAGTCATCCATTGCTGGTGGGAGTGTTGTACAACCACTATGGAAATCAATATGGCAGTTCCTCAGAAAGTTGAGAATCGATCTACCTCAAGATCCAGCTATACCACTCTTGGGCATATACCCAAAGGACACTTCATTCTACCACAAGGACATTTTCTCAGCTGTTGCTCTATTCATAATAGTCAGAAACTGGAAACAACCTAGATGTCTTTCAACAGAAGAATGGATAAACAAAATATGATACATTAATACAATGGAGTATTACTCAGCTGTTAAAAAATTACATCATGAAATTGGCAGGCAAATGAATGGAACTAAAAAAAAATCATCATGAGTGAAGTAACCCAGACTCAGAATGATAAATATAGCATGCATTCACTTCTATGTGGGTATTAGCCCTCAAATAAATGATGTCCGAATTGCAATCCATAGACCTATAGACATTAGATACAGAGGAGGAAAGCAGGGTGGACACATGGATCTCCTGAGAAGGTGAAAGGGATTAGATTTTATATGTGAACTGGGTATAGGTGTAGGGGACAGGAATGGGAGAATCAGCTAGGGAGCACAAGAGGAGCAAGGACAGACTGATGCAAGGAATGTGGGGAAAGATGGCTAGAATTGAGGATCATTTATGGAGTGCTATAGAAACCTAGTGTAGTGGAAACTTCTAAAATTATATGAAGGTGATCCTGATGAAGTCTCCAAATAATGAGGGATACAGAATCCCAATTGGCCATCTCTTGTCACCAAACAATTCTTCCACTATTGGGACTGGGTTATATCCAGTTTAGGTGTTGGCCAAAGGGATCACAAGGAAACCCTCAAACAACAAAGGCTGCTGGCAAGACAATATGTTGCTCTCCAAAAAAATGACAGCAAGGCCCCATTGCTCAAGACAACACTCACACAACTCACTGAACGTGGAGAGGTTGAGCTGGTGGCTACATAGAACCTTCTCTCCTATCTTCTAATGTCTTTGGTATTTGAAGGTATCTGAGAGTTACACAAAGAGAAACATAAACATCAGCCCAGCCACAAAACCTTTGATCTACAATTTGTTCTGCCTGCAAAACGTGCTAGGGCAATGGTGCCCCAGGCTTGTAGGGGTAACCAACCAATGTCTGATTTGGCTTAAGGTCCATGCCGGGAGATAGACCCCATATCTGACATTGTTTGGGTGACAAAGAAGTATAGACTAGGTAGCCCAGAGACCTTTGGTGAAACTAAATACTACTAGTCTAAAAAAAGTAACAATAAAAATATTCCTAATAATATTCTGTTATGTCAGTGACATATTCAATCACCATCAGAGAAGCTTCTTCCTGTAGCAGATAAAAACAAATAGAGAGACCCACAATCTGACATTATGCAGAGAGACAGACCTTGGAACAAACAGCTCTAAATGTGGTATCTCCATCAACTCTCTCACCTCAGAGCTCAGGGAACCCTATGGAAGAGGAGGTATAAAGATTAGAAGAGTATCTTTGTGGATTTCTGTGGGCCTCTCTAGTACTTTGCTTCTTCGTATTCTCATGTGGTCTTCATTTACCATGGTCTCCTATTCCTTGTTCTCCCTCTCTGTTGTTGATCCAGCTGGGATCTCCCGCTCCCCCAAGCTCTCTTTCCCTCAACCCTCGCCTTTCATTACCCCCACTCATGTCCAGGCTGTTCATGTAGATCTCATTCCATTTCTCTGTCATTGGGCGATCCCTGTGTCTTTCTTGGGGTCCTGTTTTCCAGGTAGCCTCCCTGGTGATGTGAGTAGCAGACAAGTCATCCTTGTTTCATGTCTAGTATCCTGCTATGAGTGAGTACATACCATGTTTGTCTTTCTGAGTCTGGGTTACCTCACTCAGGATGATTTTTTCTAGATCCATCCATTTGTCTGCAAACCTCATGATGCCATTGTTTTTCTCTGCTGAGTAGTATTCCATTGTGTATATGTACCACATTTTGTTTATCCATTCTTCAGTTGAAGGGCATCTGGGTTGTTTCCATGTTCTGGCTATTACAAACAATGCTGATATGAACATAGCTGAACAAGTGCTCTTATGGTGTGGTTGAGCATTTCTTGGGTATATGCCCAAGAGTGGTATAGCTGGATCTTGGGGGAGATTGATTCCCAATTTTCTAAGAAAGCGCCATATTGATTTCCAAAGTGGTTGTACAAGCTTGCATTCCCACCAGCAGTGGAGGAGAGTTCCCCTAGCTCCACATCCTCTCCAGCATAAGGTGTCTTCAGTGTTTTTGATCTTAGCCATTCTGACAGGCGTAAGGTGGTATCTCAGAGTTGTTTTGATTTGCATTTCCCACACAACAGACTGCTGGCAATGGTCAAGAGACAGCCTGAACTGACCTACTCTGGTGACAGGATGGCCAAACACCCTAATTGTTGTGCTAGAAACCTCATCCAACTACTGAGGGATCTGGATGCAGAGATCCATGACTAGGCCCCGGGTGGATCTCTGGGATCCAATTAGCGAGAATGAGGAGGGGTTATATGAGTGAGAATTGTTGAGACCAAGGTTGGATAAAGCACAGGGACAAATAGCCAAATGAATGGAAACACATGAACTATGAACCAATGGCTGAGGGGTCCCCACTGGATCAGGCCCTCCGAATGGGTGAGACAGTTGATTGGCTTGATCTGTTTGGGAGGCATCCAGGCAGTGGGACCAGATCTTGTGCTCTTTGCATGAGTTGGCTGTTTGAAACCTGGGGCCTATGCAGGATTGTTTGGCTCGGCCTGGGAGGAGGGGACTAGACCTACCTGGACTGAGTCTACCAGGTTGACCTCAGTCTGTGGGGAAGGCTTTGCCCTGGAGGAGATGGGAATGGGGGGGGGGGGTTTGGGGGAAGGTGAGGGGGACGGGAGGGGGGAGAACAAGGGAATCCGTGGCTGATATGTAGACCTGAATTGTATTGCAAAATAAATTAAAAAAAAAAAATTAGAAGAGCCAGAGAGGATGAAGGACACAAGGAGAACAAAGCTCTTCAAATCAACATGAGCAAAACTCAGGAACTCACAGAAACAGCAAGCACAGGGCCAACATGGGTCTGCCCCAGGTCCTCTGCACATACATTATTGTTGCTTTTTGTTTCTGATCTTTTTGTGGGTCTTCCATCCAACTCCCAAATACATCACAAATGGAGGATTATTCTTAATTATAAGTGCTCTGTCTTAGCTTGGTTTGTTTCTTATCAGCTTTTCTTAGTTTTTAAATTATCCCATCTGTCTTTTGCCTCTGGGCTTTTATTGTATGTTTTTTGTATACCTTTCTTTCTTACTCTGTTGCTGGTTATGCAGCTGGGTGGCTGGCCCATGATGTCCTCCGTTTTTTCTTGCTCCTAGATCTCTCCTCTCCCAGATTTCTCCTTTTATTAATTCTTTCTGCTTGACAGCCTTGTCCATCCTTTCTCCTGCCTCACTTTTGGTCACCTAGCTCTTCATTAGAGCATCAGGTGTTCTAGAGGGGCACAGTATCACAGCTTCACAGAGTTAAACAAATGCAACCTAAACAAAAGTAACACACATTAAATCAATATTCCCCAACATCTTATAGCGTTCAGATTAATATTTTTATGGAAATCCTAAGTATGTGAGCCAGTGTGTTTCTGATTCTTGGGCACGTTTTCTTCTCTTGGTTGCCTTCTCCAACTTCTTTGTGATTTTTTTTCTTACTATATTTTCTTTTGTCATGTTCAGATATCTCTTTGAAGCCTGTTCTTTTGTGATAAGAGACTGAAAGGGAGTGGATTCAGATGGGAAGGGAGGTGGCTAGGAGCTGGGAGGAGTACAGGGAGGAGAAACTGTAATTAGGATATATTGTATGAGAACGAATCTATTTTAAAGGGGATAGTAATAAAAGGAAAGCACCTCAAAGTTTATTTTCCCTGGGGTAACCTTTTTTTTTTTAAATAGTGAGATTTAGCCTCAGTGGAATTCTTGTATTCCCACAATTGACCTCTACATCATTATATCAGGCAATATCTTTAAAGAGACAAAGCTTTTTAATCTCTTCTGGATCAGTTTTCAGTGCTTTTGCTGGCTAGGTATCTTGGATGCTCCAGCTTCTGAATGGGTTTATTCCCTATGTTTTCCCTTTATGTGGGCATGGTTTCTTCATCAGAGAAATCCAATCTTTATTTGATGACTCAGACTGTTGGGAGACAAGTATTTGTGATACTTTGTCATTTATGTTCATTTGTGAACAGAGCCTTAGTTCCTTTGTAACATTAAAAATACTTTTTTGAGATTAAAATATAATTTACATCATTTCCCTCCTTCACTTTCCTCCCTCCAAACCCTCCAATATTCCCTTTCTTGCTGTTTTTCAAATCAATGTCTTGTTTTCATTGACTTTTGCATACATGTATTCATACATAAATGATGCTGTTGCGTGTTCTGTTTTCTTTACTGTTTTTCCTCATGTTTTTTGTAATTTATATTTTTTTTAACTAGGTTCTACTACATATTCCTAGACAGCACACAACTTGAAATTATCCTGCTTCTGTCTCCTGTATGTTATGATTGAGAATGTCCAGAATCAGTCTCTTGTTAGTTATTCAATAATAAAACACTGACTTAGGGAATAATTCTATTAACCAAGAGAAAAAAAAACAAGCTCATTTAATACAATTTTACAAAGTTTACATAAGCGAGTGTATTAGTCACTTTATTCTAGAGGAACAGGGCTGATAGTATACATGCAAACATGCATACATACATACATCTATACATACTTACTTGCCTACATGTGGTTTCAGTAGTCCAAAATGGCAAACATGATCTCCCAACGAGAAGACCAAGGACTCCAGTTGCTCAGTTCATGGGACTGGATGTCTCAGTATTCCCAATCTGGTGCTGGAGTCCAAGGGAAGTCAAAATTAGCTGCTGGTCTTCAGCCTATGTTAGAGTCGCAGAGAAATAGGTTCTAACATCAGTGAAGGCACATCCCTGCAACAGAATAGCTGAGCGTGCTGGTGAAAGTGAATGCAGAAAAGGCTACAAAACAAGCTTCCTCCTTTGATGTTGACTAATGACTTTCATGTGTGGCCTAGATTTGGGGAAGGTCTTCCCATTTCAAATGACCTACATTGGGTTGTGGCTTCCCAAATCAATTTATCTAATCAAGAAGATCCCTTACAGGCTGACCAGCTGTTTTGGTTTAGTTGTTTCTATATATATCCAAGTTGACAATTAAAATTAACCTCAACAAATAATGAATATTGTAGAACTGAGCATCATCTCAAATCAAGTACTGTTCAGATTGACCCACCCACATGTACAAGTTGTTTTTATCAGCTAAGGATAAAAAGTGACAAGCAAAAAACATCTAATCGTCTGCACTGGGTATTTGCTACATAGAATAGTGTTTTGACAGCTTTCAGGCTATAAACATTTGGTTACCAAAGCTTAAACTATAACTTGTTTACAAAAGATAAGAAACATACTGTGTGCTGGTGATAATTTAGAACATACTTATCTTCCAAGTACATAAGCTGACCTGCAATTCATTATTTCACTTGTGCATCCAAAAAAGCTTAAGATTCATTATTCTTATCTGTAAAGAAAGGGATAGTAAGTGATCATTGCTATAGCAGTATGTAATTAATTGAGATAATTTGTATAATATTGGATGTTACACTATTGTTGACTGATGTTCTAAATTCTTATCTAATTTTCTCACTTTAAACTTCTCTTTTTGCAAAGTCACACTTGGCTTTCCTTTTCTTTACTTCCTCTTACCTAACCTTGTGCAAAGAAATCACATAACATGTTCCACTGTTGGTAGAAATCAAATGAGAATTGATTTCCACTAATATCACTGAGTTGAAATGTTGAACATTTTACTTTGTCATAAATAACATGGTTTCCCATACTGTTGCTCACCAAATGGATAGTTTTCTACACCAAGAGTAAACAATTTTCTTCAAGTATTATGAGATAAATATTTGTGCTATTTTTGTACTAGTCATAAAAGTGCTAGTGTTTTTTTCTTTGGCACTAGCCTAGATTTTACATAACCTTAGGCTATTTTCATATGATGATAAAATGAGTTACATTCATATTATAAAATTCTTATTAGTAGAATACAAATAAACTCTAAGTTGTTTAATATGAATATTTAACTACCTTTTCTAACTTTGAATTTGCAAATATAACTTGTAAAAATTAAGAGCATGGTGAAGAGACTGTGAGCTTTATAATTATTCAGAAATATACCTGAACTTGAAGATATTTTATTTTTAAAGATGTGTAGTAAATATCTGATCCAAGTCTCCTTCTTGTTTGTGAATCCTGTTGCTAAAGCCACACCATTAAAAAAGAGTAACCTTGTCAGACAGACTAGTCTCCCTAATTTCTACGAGTTTTGTGGCTGGTCACATGAATTCAACAGAAACATCCAGTGTCATCCCATTGCCTAGGTCATTATGAAGCCACTGCAGGGCCAATTCATATTGAAAAAAAGAAATTAAACCTTAATTCTCGGTGGAAGGAAATAATAATTAATTTGTAGCACACTTCAATCCATTATAACCTCCTTTATGGTTGCAAATTATTCATATTATCCATAAGGAAAATATAGGTACCCCATTTCAAAATCTCCAGAGTTTCACTTAATTATGCTACCAGGTTTAAGGAGCTGTATGAGATCATCTAAATCTGGCTTGTGAGAAGATGGAACGCCTGAGGAGAAACTTAAAATCAATCCAAAGATATGCAATAAAGAAGGAAGAGAAACAGTCCAAATAAAGACATTGCATCCACATAGAAAGTGAGTACCTGTAACCCCAGTTCTATGGGTTCTTGTGACAGGCGGTTCACTGGGGCTTGCTATCAGCCAGTCTAGCTTCAGGGTCAATGACAGACCTTCTCTGGTGGGAATAATATGAAAAGTAATATTTTAGAAAACTCAATATCCTTCTGCAGCCTCCACATGTGTGCATGGTTGCATACACCACACATTCAAACACACACAAACATGCATGCACACACACACACACACACACACACACACACACACACACACACACACGCACGCACAATAAATAAATAACAAAATGTCTTCTAACTCCCTTTAACATACTGGCCTTATAAGACACATATGCGAAATCTACTGTAGGTCTTCCTAATGCAAACAGAAAGGAGTGAGAAGTATGTTGTAGGTGATGGGCTACATCTATTCTGAAATAGAATTAGACACATGGCACAGATTTTAAGGTCCAATCTAATCTTCTCGGGAGTCTCTAATGCTCCTTTTTTCTGTACCCTGAGTCCTTTCCCTTTTTTTCTAGGATGTTGCTTTTGTCATGAATATGTTCTTAAGTAAGAGGTTGACAATCTAAAGGCATCTTTATACCCTTTTGTTCAAGGCAATGATGTTTACACTGACAAAATCTTTTAAAATCCCAACAGAAAAGTCTTTATGGGCTTCCTATATATTTTGAGTGAGCGTTATCAGGTATCAGAACCAAAAACCTGATTTCTTTCTAACTTACCAAAAGACCATTTGGAATATACACTAATTGTGTAGTATGATGTGGTTAAGATATCCACAAGAGTGTTGATAACCTTTTTGCATTCTTACAGTATCTGCATAACATTGTGCTAAATCTGTCTGAGGTATTGCTAAAGGATTTTATGGCACCAATTTAGATCCTGATATCATCACAGTGGGACTTGAACTTTGATCTTCACACTGACCACCCTACCCAACAGACTTCAGATTACCCATCTCAAGTCATGTGAGCCAATTTCTTAAAAGATAAATTCCTTGTTATGTATCACTGCATCTCCATCATATGTGTAAATATACATATGTATACATAATTATATGCCATTTTGCTGCATTATAAAAAAGCACACATTAATATATATGAACAAATAAACATATACATGTGCTTCTGTTCTATGAGGATTCTTCACTTACAGAGGAGGTTTATATTTGTCCTATGAATTTTGAGACAACTTTAAATTGTTCTTTTTTTTGTGACTGTAAACTGCCAATGTAAAATTCCATTCTTCCTAAGGTTTCACTCTATTTGAGGCAATGTAGCCTCTAAAGTGTTTCTGAACACTAAAGCGAAATTTCTCTAAAACTTAAACAATGTGAAAGTAAATAACTAACCACTCATAAAAAATTGAAAATTGAATCTTTTGACATTTTCTGAAAATAAAACAACCAAAAATTCCACCATGAATCCATCAAGCTGAACAAACAGAAATGAAAGAGAAGAAAACACATATGTATAATTTGGCAGTAAGAAACTTACATATATACAAACACACTCAAAAAATGTAGGATGTAGTCATGCCAATATCATATCTGCATAAAAGTGCTTTTGTTTTTGAACAACTCTAGTCACAAGCTTAACCTAATTAGGATGCAGAATTGCCTGGCTCTTGGTGAAATGTGCTGAAGGGGTAGAAGGTATTGCTAGAGCCTGAGGGTTTTTGTATTAAGCTCCAGCTGGGCCCAACAGACACTGTCCACAAGATGACCTCCAAATAATTGAATGATTTCCATATGTTTGCTCATGTATAGTCTTCTCATTTAAAACTCCCTGCATCTCCTTCCAAGTCTACTGCCTCTGACTGTGCTAGCTTAATTCTTAGAGGATTCTCACTACTGGAAACCATCAAATACCCCACAATTAGGTGAGTGAAAAATATAAGACTATAGTAACGATCTTCTAACTGTGTCTGCAGAAAGAAGTCCTTCCAACTATGGTACAGATTACCCTCTAGTCCCTTAGAGAGAATGTTTGCCAACATTGTTTCATATTAATACAGTAACATAAAGGGGATAACTGATGGCTTTCGAGTCTTTAAACTGAGATTAAGTAGAGTAACTTCTTATTAGCTTAATATGTGTGCATTCTCTATCTGGAGCGAGCTCAATAAATGCATATTTGGAGCAGGGAGATGGAACAGAAGCTTGCTTCCTCCACTTCATGCATTGACTTGGGTTTGCAGTACATCTCAGAATGGTGCACACCCTCAAGGGATCTTTTTCAAGTGTCTTAAACTTGACCTAATGATTCATTCCATGCACATTATTGAGTATTTGACTCTTCCAAATCCGAGTCATACCACTCCTTGGAATTTACCCAATGTCTTCAAAGTCGACATGTCATATATATGGGCATTCAGCACTTTTACAATAATTAAATTATGCGGCCAACGAGTTGTCTATCAGCAGAGGCATGAAAAAGGACATGTGCTATATATACACAATGGATTTTTTTAGTCATAAAATAACAAAATCATATTTGAAGCAAAAAATAGATGCAACTGGATATAACAACATTAAGTGAATTAAACCAGTCTGAAAAAGATAAATCAGATGATTTTACTCATTATTGTTTCCAAGGTTTTATACAGACACATACAATTAAGTGTGTATATATGACATAAAACTAGAATCTGCTGTGGGATATCTTTCTGGATATTGTGAATTTGTGTTGCTCTGATTGGTTGATAAATAAAGTCGTTTGGTGTATGGTAGGGCAGGATGAAGCCAGGCAGGAAAAATTCAAGGGAGATAGTGAAAGGAGAAAGGAGAGGCAGGGGAGATGCCATCCCGCCATCCAGGAAACAGCATGTGATAGCACACAGGTAAAACCATGGAACACATGTTGACATATAGATTAATAGAAATCAGCTGAGTTTAGTTATAAGAGCTAGCTAGCAAGAAGCTTGAGCCATAGCCATGGCCATACAGTTCCTAATTAATATAAGCCTCTGTATGTTTATTTGGGTCTGAGCAGATGCGGGACTGGGCAGAAAATGGGAAAAATTCCAACTACAAGAATCAAAGTTAGATAGGGGGACAAGAGGGAATACAGAGGGTTAAGAAATGAAGATAGGGAATTGCAAGGTGGAATATGATCAATATAAAATATATACAAGTTTGAAAAATAAAATCAATTAAAAATGTATTATAGAATATAGCTATAAAGATTAATGACTAAACCATGCTGGCTCTATGAATCAGATATCCCATGGAGAGCCAGACAAAACTCATGTTCCATATAACCAATGTTGAGACATTGGTGCTTTACAGAAAAGTTTACAAAACTACACAGAGAAGCTAGATTCACAATATTGGATAAGAAACACAATCATAAAGTAAGGAATGTACATGCCAAGCTAGGGGAGGATGAAATATCATATGTATAGTGAATGATAAATATAGGGATTAGAGCAGAAAACCCTGTGTAACAGTCAATAGGATAGAAGAGTTTATTTTATGCTAAGGCATCCACTCAAGATCAACTTTTTCATCAAAGAGTAACAGGGAACCACTAAAGCAGTTGTTTGAAGATTTTTTTTATTTGTATCCATGTGTTTGTGTGAATATAAGCTGTGAATGGCAGGTGCCTCCAGAGGCCAGGAGAAGGCATTGAATTTCCTGGAGTTGTAGTTACAGGCAGTTACTGAGAACTGAATTCAATTCTTCAGGAAATACACTCTCATATCTACTAAGCAATAGCTCCAGTGCCTAAAAAGTCTTAAGAAGAAAAGTAGCATGAGCATATTTACATTTTAGAACAATACAAGAAAATATGCAATAATTGACATATAGATATATAGGATGAAAGGGTAGATTAATGAACCTACTTTTAAAGAGCAACAACTTGTATAGAAATGTTTTACATTGCTATGGATTTTAGTTTATTGATACAAGTTTAAACTTAATTTTGTTATACTGTATATATATTTCTACTCTCATTTGAGGTATTATGTTTGTGTAATTAATAATTAGCCTTGTATGATAGTCAAACTTATAGTCATGTTAAGTTTTCTAGGTATATATAGATATAATTCAATTAGGTAGGTAATCTTCAAACACTTCAAAGACCTACAGGATATAGCATGTAAAATTTTTTAAAAATTTAGACTTTTTGGACAGTGAGACATGTCTGCTCCTGGGAGCATTGATTTACTACAAAGAGAAAGATGGGCACTGAAGATAATCTGTATGGAGTTTATCTTCTTCTTCTCAAAAAATAGCCATTTGGGCAAGAAACTGTTCTTGCCCAGACTGCTTGAAAAAATATATTGACTAGACGTGCAGGACCAATAGGAAGGTGACCACTGAACTTTGCTTGGCAAAATGGTCCTTCATGTTCCTGCTTTGCAGTGGAAACTGCCAGACATTTTACAGGACACAGGGAGAAGGGACTGAGAGACTCTAGGCCTGTGGGCTGATGACAGATGCCCCAAATTTACAGAGGAACTTTAGATGACTGTCCAGGCTGCCAGTTGTCTCTGTCTACTCTTGTAAGACTCCTGAAAGTTGATTGCATTCTTCTCCTGTTTCTCAGGTAGACCTGTTTCTAAGGTCTTTGATGTAGTTGAAGACTAGATAGTTATAATTTCCTTAGTCATGATAAAAGATAATTTAGATATGAAACCTTAGACTCACAAATATAGGAGAGATGGAATATCTTCTTTAATTTTGCCAAATATAAATAAACTAGATATTATAAATAGACTAGATATTGTAACTGTAATTCTTGCTTGATAATTGTTCTGTTATATGTAATTTTACTATGTTAAAATTAATACCTTCCTTTTTGAAAAAAAAGAAAAGGGGAAGTGCTGTGGATATCAATCTTTCTGTATGTTGTGAATGTGTTGCTCTGATTGATTGATATGCCAGCCAGAGACAGAGGAAGCATGATGTGAAGTACCAGTAAGCCATAAGCCATGTAGCAACTTACAGATTGATAGAAATGGGTTAATTTAAGATATAAGGACTAGATAACAAGAAGCCTGCCACGGTCATACAGTTTTAATTAATATAAGCCTCTGTGTGTTTACTTGGGTCCAAGCGGCTGCAGGACTGGCAGGTGAGAGAGATTTGTCCTG